GCTAGACGCGAGACAAGACTCCGGCGCTTCTCGACGCGACGTGCGTGTTACGCGCTTAGCGTCACCCCCGAGGAAAGGATTACTTCCGGCGCGCTCTTCCGGACAGCGAGCGGGAGGGGGACGGGGCCGACGCGGGGCGGGGTCGAAAGCACCCTCCGACTACGCTCCCTGTCAGTGCTGCCGCTACCACTTTCTGTCACCGCTGTCGCGGCTGTTGGCGTGGGCGGCGCGAGTGATCGCGGTGGAGCCTATCACCTTCCTCTTCTCTTGCCTCCGTCGCTGCTGTCTCTTCTTCGCCGTTCTGTTTCGCGTCTGTCAGTCTTGTCCTCTCCGTGAACACATATCGTTGATATCACTCCATGACAGATTCGGATACGACGAGCTCGTTAGTTATAAGCTTTTTTTAAAATTATTCAAGGCATGTGTGGAAAATATTCTTTTAGGGCCTAATGAAAATAAAAAAGTGTTGGAGAAATACATTACTGAGGGAAAGAGAAAATTTCGTTAATAGTTAGTATTATCTGTTTACATGAGTGTACTTCTCTTAATCTTTTCTAGTTTGTTATGAGGAAACACATTTACTGGAATGTATAACACTCAAACTATTTTAGAAAGAAGAAATTTGTTCAATGTTATATCGGTAAAAATTATATACCGGTATTCTAGTTATTTTAATACCTTATAGCAAATGAGAAAAAAATTAAGGAAAGTGCAATCATGTGAGCTGATAATATATACCAGATAATCGGTTTATTTCGCCGGTTTTCTAAAAGTACCAATGTATTTCCATAAAATGAAGATTTCTTTTACGAAGTTTTCTGCATTATTATGACAAAAGTAAATAAAAACACATGTCAGTCTCATATTTACATTCTCAATTGGATAGTATAAAATTTAGAATGTAAAATACTACTTCGGTAGTTGTGTCTATTATTCTGAGCTTGGGACATGAAAACAGGGATATGAAGACTGTCTCAGAATACGGTTTACAAACTTCTAGAGCGTATAGACTACTAAAATATGAAACAAATTGCAAATAAAGCAGATAAATTTATGCAATGGTGTTGCGAACGAGTTGTTTGCCTCTGATTTTTAGGCAAATTCTGGTGTTGGTGTCCAACAGGTGCTCGAAATCTTCGTGTCTGCAAAACCTGACCTGTCAAATGCACATGAAATTGCCTACCAAGCAGTGGCAATTAACACATGTACCTCCGTTGTGTCAATTAGTCAATCTGATAATTAATATGGAAAAGTCTACAAATTAGTGATGGTATTCCAAATCACTTGATTTCATATTTTGAGTTAAAACTTAAACTAGAATATATTTATATTACGTTCGTTATTTGCGGAGGCATTAAAAATGAAGAGAAATATACTTTTATTGGACTTTTGTAATATCTATTAACTATAAAATTAATTTTAAACGAAAAAGTGTATTTATTTGCTCTTCTATATACACAAATATCATTATTAGCAAAACATATATTATGATAAAATGTTTGTAAAATTAACATCGCTTATGCGGATGTGTTAGCGTGTGGTGTTTATGAAGCACCAATGTCCCTGTCATATGTTGACTCTGTAAGTTTTGCAATGCACGAGGTTAATAGACCATCAGAAATGGAAATAATAATTAAACAGAAAATGGCTTAAATCTTCAATAGGAAAATAAGCAGAAATGTACAACTTGCGGAATATTATTGTTAGATAATTAATGCTTGCATTCATTAATAATTAATGCTACGAGTATTCATAAAATGCACATGAAAGAACTTAAATATAAATTTTATCTTTTAGAATTTGTCTTCCTTTCTGTAAGCATTAATTGACTTCAAATAACATACGAGAAGTTTTGCATTTCTGCTTACTTTTCTACCGACGTTTTAAGTCATTTTCAGTTTAATTGTTAATATTTACATATCTTTCGTTACATATATAAAAATTGAAAATTACATCGACAAACATGACTACATTCCAAACATTCGATATAAATGAAGGC